TCCCTCTTTTGGGGTCCTTTTCTGTATTCTATCTAGCTCATTGATGTCTTTCCTAAAATGTGGCACCCAGAACTAGACACACAATACATCAAAGGAGCCTTATCATCTCCCTCCTCCTAGCCACTGGTCCTCTCTTGATACAGCCTAGGATAGAATTAGCCTTTTACATTTTTGTGTCATACTTCTGACTCACATTGGGCCTATGAGCCATGAAAGCCCTTAGATGTATTTTCAAGCAAACTCTTATTTATTTTCACATTGCCACCGTCTTGTGAACGTGAGTTTTAGAACCCCAGCATAGGACTTAACAGTTATCTCTATTAAATTCACTTTTAATGGATGCAGCCTATTGTTTCTTGTTTGACAAAAATGCATTTTTAAAAAGTACACAAAATAAAGAGGGTTCAGCAGTCCCACTGGGCTCCTACTCACAAAGGATGTTACTGCTGGCAAGAACAGACCTGTTTGGATAAAAATACACAAAGCAACACTATTTATCAGAGCAAAAAGTTGGAAAGAATCTCCTGATTCCATCATTCAAGGCTCTTCATACATTGACAGTAGCCTATATATTTTTTTGTCTTATGGCACAGTATTCCCAATCCCATACTCTACATTGCAGACAAACCAAAGTCCCTAATCTCCTCCCACCTTCTCCTACCTCCATGCCTTTACAAAGGGCACCCTCAGATATGGAACATCCTCATAAAATCATCAGCTTTGAGCTAGAAGGGATCTTAGAGGCTAGCTAGTCTAAGCCCCTCATTTAAAGATGAAAAAAAAATGAGGCCTAGAGAGGCTGAAGAGACTTGCCCAAAATCTCCCAAGAAGTAGATGGCAGAGCCAGGAGATGAACTCAGCTTGCTGGACCCCAATTTCAGCTCACTTTCCACTGTACCAAAGTGGCTCTTGGTACCTTTCTCATTTGACGGAGAAAGAAACCAAGGACCAGCAATGAGAAGCAACTTGCCCAAAGTCACACAGCATATTAGAGGAAGAACGAGGATTAGAACAGAGGGAAGCATTGGAGCCAGCTCAAAATGCTTATTAAATCTCCAGGGTGAGAGTTGATACCTCTGAAATTGCAAACATTACAAATCAGGGCTTGAATGATTGTTTTGTTGGTTGTCTAGATTTAAGAAAGTGATGGAGAATGTCAATAATGTGGATTAAATTAGAAAGTAGCATACATTTATTCTTTCTTCTTTCCTTCCTTCCTTTTTTCCCCTCCCTCCCTTCTTCCTTCCCTCCCTTCCCCCCCACCTCTCTCTCTCTCTTCCTCCCCCCCTTCTCTTGAGAGTCATTTGTTAAATATTCACCAGCACATCTATGATTAGAACCCAGGTCTCCTGCTTGCCTATCCAGGGATTTTCCCCATGGCCCAGGAAGTCACCCTTACAAAACATAGAATTATACATTCTCCATATGCTTGAATGACACCTTAGAAGCCATCTAGTTCAACTCCACCATTTGCGGATGAGGAAACTGGGGTCCAGAGAGATGAAATAGTTCACCCAGGTCCAGCGCAGGGCCTCTGACTCTTACTCCAAATCCATCATCCTTTCTATTGTTCTGGGCTGGCTCCTCCTCTTTTAAGTCTCAACTCCGGCTCTACCTCCTCCATTGAACTTTCCCTGTTCATCCAACTGAAAGTGGTTTCTCCCTCCTCAAGCTTTCCTAGAATATTCTATCCACCTAGCTCTTCTTTGCTCTGATCATTTTCTGCTTTGCAGGACACAGGTCATGCACATGAAGGGACGCCCTTCGGGTCAATTTTCAGATATGCTTTACCTTGGAGTCAGCCTGAGCCCTCAACCCTGTCATCTCAGCAAGACGTCAACAATAGCTCTTCCCCAGTGTCTCTCCAACTCTCTCAGAATCTTACAACTGGAAGGAAGCTCAATCCCTGCCTAAGTAGAACCCCTTCCATAACATTCCCAATAACGGATCCCCCCACTTTCCACTGGAAGCTCTCCAGTGGTGGGGAGCTCACTCTCTCTGGAGGCAGTCTGTTCTACTTGTGGGCAACTCTGAGTGTTAAGAAGTTTTTCTTTATACCCAGGTACAACTTGCCAGTCCTCAACTCAGGATAATGGGATCTCCAGTTTTAGAGCTGGAAGGGACCCCAGAGATCACTGAGTTCAACCCTTTCATGTTACATATGAAAAAACTGAGGCCCAGAGAAGCTGAATAACTTGTCTCATCACTCTAGTTCTGCTCTAGGACCAAACAACATGGCAACCCTTCAAACACCTGAAGACCATGAATAATAATGAATGGCTGATATTACCATAGTGCTGCAGGGTTTGCAAAGTGCTTCATGGACATTAACCTTATTGGATCCTCACAACCTACTATTATCCTCATTTTATAGATGAGGAAACTGAGGCTAAATGATTTGCCCAGGATCATATAGCTAGTAAAACACTAACTTCTTGAGGGTAGGAATTGAATCATATTTCATCTCTGCATCCAAAACCAAAACTGGGTCTTCCATATAGTAGGCACTTAATATTTAATGCTGAATTGAATTTCTAGAGGAAAAGTAACCTCAACTGTTAGGTGGGAAATGGGACATAAGGAATGTACGGCATATGAAGAATGCCTAGGCCTGGTAATGACCCATAAGACTTTATTCCCAGGGACATCTGGTGGACACAGGAAAGGGTACAACTTGTCAATTAATAAGTATGTGTTAATTACCCAGTATGCACCAGGCACACTGTACTTTGAAACACTCTCAGGTAAAGGAACTGACAGACTGGGGTCCTAATTGCTCTCAGTTCCTCAGAGGAACTCACACCTTTCATAGAGGCAGTGTGGAGACAGAATAGGAAAAGCTCTAGAATTGGAGTTACAAGACCTGGGTTCAAATTCCACACCCCGACAACGACCAGTTGAATGATAACGTCCTTTCACCATGCTGAGGCCCAGTTTCCTTACCTGTAAAATGGAGGATATTCTACCTACTATACAGAGAGTTTGGGAGAAGAGTATCGTGCAAACTTTACAGGGCTAAAGAAATGGGAGTTATTATTATCTCCCACCTGTCAGGCAGCACAACTCCATAGGTGCACCTTCTCATCTTCGCCAGGGTTGACCTTTCCACCATCTCCCTGTGATTTCTGTCTCTCAATTTCATCAACAGTTAACTCCAGACTGTCTGGGCAGAAAGTTCTCCTAGGCTTCTTGATTCCATGGAGAGACAGTATGGTAGAGAGAGAAGCCTGTTGGGTCTTGAAATTTGAGGCAGGAGTAAAGGAAGGCCCAGGTCTGACCATTTTGTTCCCAAGAAGCTTCGATGGCTTCCCAATGCCTTTAGATTAAAATACAAACTTCTCTGTTTGGCCTCTGAATTCAGGTTTGGAATTAGAAAAGCCAGGTTTGGATCCTGTTGTTTACCTGAACTTCGGAAGGTCCCTCTGCTCCTCCAGGCCTCAGTTTCTATACTTATCAAATGAAGAGGGTCATGGTAAATGATCTTTAAAGTTCTTTCCTTTCCTCCTAAAACCTTGTGTCTGTTAGCCTGCTGTTTATTCACAGAGACTCTGCACCTCCAGCTTGATCTGATGGAAAGGACACTGGCTCTGGAGTCAGAATTTGGAATCATATCCCACCTTTGACACAGCTTAGCTGTGGGATCCTGGGCAAGCCGCTCAACCACTCTTCGCCTCAGTTCCATATCTATAAAATCAGAGGGTTGGACTATACGGCTTCTGAGGTCCCTTCCAGTTCTAGACCTGAGATCCTATGCCCCTCAAGCCCGACATGCCTAGGCCATTTTCACGATCACGAGGGGTACAGACCCCTAAGGTCCACCTCTCAACTTCTTTAGGCCTGGACCCAATTGTTGTTGTTGTTCAGTCACGTCTGACTCTCCGTGACCCCATTTGGGGTTTTCTTGACCAGGATACTGGAGTGGTTTGTCATTTCTTTCTAGCTCATTTTACAGATGAGGAAACTGAGGCAAACAGGGTTAAGTGACTGGCCCAGGGTCACACAGCTAGGAAGTATCTGACATCAGATCTGAACTCAAGGCTTCCTCATTCCAGGCCTAGTGCTTTATCCACTGTGCCACCCAGCTTCCCTTGAACCCAAATAGCAGTTGTCTCAAACGAAAGCTACAGGAGGCTTGGTCCTTTTTATAGGACACTTACCTGGCAGGAGGAGGTGCGTGCCAGAACAGCAGAGGAGGCTTCCACGCAAAGCAGAACCATGACCCCATATAGAAACTGAGAGAGAAGATAGGAGAGAAAACATGAGGCTGTTTAGTGGGAATATGGGGGCACCACTCCTGGGCAAGGCACAACACACAGGTTGCTCTAAGAGGGTGGGGGAAAGGGCAGAAAGGGTGATGGAATGAGAGTCAAGACCTGTACTCAACTCTCAGTCTTGCCATCTACATAAACTGTATGACCCTGGGCAAAACTACTTCCTTTCTCTGGGCCCCAGCTTCCTCATCTGCAAATGGGAATACTGCTCTCTGTACTCTCTAACCCATAAGAATTTTGCAAGGCAAGTGCTTTGCAAACCTGAAAATGCTATAGAAATCGGAGCTATCATTATTGAAATTTTTTTAGTCTCTTAATTAAAAAAATTAAAAAAAGACTTCCAAATATGAGCCAATTTTAAACACACAGTTACAGGACAACAAAAGAAATGGGAGCAAGCTAGAACTTTAGGTTAAAACTACTGTCATCATCTATAATAATCATTATATTTCCTATTTCCACAAGGCTTAAAGGTTTACAAAGCATTTTCCTAACAACTAGACTCCAAATGGAGTGTCACATTTTAAAATATCTCCATTTTAAAGATGAGGAAACTGAGCCTGGAGGAAAGGAGAGTTATTTCCCCAAGGTCACCCAGGTCACTACTAGGTCACACAGCTAGTAAATATTAGAGCTAAGAATCAGCACTGTTTCCATTTGAATATCAGCTCCCTGATGGCAGGAACTGTTTTTCCATTTTGTTTTTGTAGCCCCAGCAGCTTAACATGCATTTGTTGGGCCAGACTAGATTAGATTTCTGTTAGCCCATAAGGTGAGACTGTTAATTTATTTGGGAATTTGGGAGGGGTATTAGCTTTTCCAGGACATGGGAGAAACAACTCAGATAGACAATGGGAAGCATCCTATGTAACAAATCATGTGAAAAAGACACCTGGGTCTTAGTGTACTGCAAGCTCAATAAGAGACAGCAGAGAAACATGGTAGTCAAGAAGCTAATGAAGTCTTAGGGCATCTGAAGCCTAGTGTCCAAGGCACAAGAGGTTCCACCATCCCTTGCCCTCATTAACACATCCAAGTCCAGTTATCGAACCATACTTTCAGAAAGATATTTAAATAATCAGATTGACTCAGTGTCTTTTTTTATTTGGTGCTATGTACAGTTAGTTGATTTTGTTCTGTAACTGCCTAAGTCATGATTTTTTGTCTCTGAACTTAATTCGGAAACTTAGCGGGCCTGTAATGAGTTAAGTTTAGAAATCCAATTCTCCTGTTAATCACTGTTATATTCTTGTGTAAGGAAATCTGTTACTCTTGAAAGATATAGGCAGACCCTAGGGAGTCTGGTCTAGTATCTTTACCCCACCAAGCTATCCTTCAAGGATGTCTGGTTTGCTATCCAAAGATGTCTGGTTTGCTATCTCTGTCCTTGTAGATGCAGCTGGATTCAAACATTTCTTAGTCACAGGAGGGAGAGGGAGGGGGTTGTTGCTAGCTCTCATTCCCAGTTTCCATCCTATCATATTTTCTTTCACCCATGAAGCTAGCCTTCCTATTTTCTGTATTCCCTAAAATTAAAAAAAAAAAAGAGTCATCCCCTTCCTTTGGGATCTTAGCTCTTCTGGGAAAGCTGAGATCCTACTTCTTAGTAAACTCATGTTTTACTAATAAATTGGCTGTGCTCAGAACTTTGTGCCTCATGTTTACCTTATTTTGACTGTTATGATATCAGGAAGCCAGGGTTCACCCAAAAGAAGACAACCAAGATGAAAAGCAGACTGGAAACCCTAGCACATGAGGCTAGGTTGAAAGAATGGTGGATGGCTAACTCCCTAGTTCAAACCCTATTACTTCTTACCTTGTCTTCTAATTGGTGTCCCTGCCTCAGGACTCTCCCCTCTCCTATCCATCCTCCATTCAGCTGCCAAAGTGATATTCCAAAAGCATACACTTGACTATGTCTGTCTGTCTGTCTCTCTCATACACCCCCCACACACACCCCCAAAACCTCCAGTGGCTCCCTAATACCTCTAGGATCAAGTGACATATTTCTGTTTGTCACAATTGGGCCCCTGACCCACCTTTCCAGCCTTATTCTAAATGATTCCTGTACTATTTGTATTTGGTTTGGTAAAACTGGACTTCTTCACTTCATCTCCCACCTCCAGGCTATTGACCATGACTAGAGTATCCTCCCTTCTCACCCTGTCTCAGAATTTCCTTAGAATTCTTAACCCTTAGTTTCCTTTGATGCTCAAGCCCCACCGTCTTCAGGAAGGCCTTCCTAGTGCCTCCCCAGCAACACTACCTTGTAGCTTTTCAGTATCTACTTCTATGCACACTTGTTGATTCCCCGATACAATGTAAGCTCCTTCAGGGCTGGCAGTTGCATTGGGCAGGTCCTTACAGAATGCTTGATGACTGATGGTTAGCCAGGAGGAGAGGAGGCAAACATGAGAATGCCCAACTTGGGAACAATGGGGAAAGCTATAAGAGGCAGGTTTTAGTTTAACATAAGGAAAAACATCGTAGCATTGACTGCCATCCTATAACAGGCTGTTCTGGAGGAGGAGTGGGTAGCCCATAGGGCAGCTAGGTGACACAGTGGATAGAGCACTTGCCTAGAGCTCAAATCTGGATTCAGACACTTACTAGCTATGTGATTCTGGGCAAGTCCTTAACCCTGTTTGCTTCAGTTTCCTCATCTGTAAAACCAGCTGGAGAAGGAAATGGCAAACCAATCCAGTAGTTTTGCCAAGTAAACCCCAAATGGAGTCACAAAGAGCTGGTTAGAACCGAAACAAATAAATAACAAAACAAAAGGGTGGCCCATCACTGAAAATCTGCAAGCATAAGCTCCATAGTCACTTTTTAGGGAAGCTGTTAAGGGGATTTATGATCAGGTGGGCTTGGATTCCAGCAAAGAATTGTGGAACTATCACCTGCCTCATTCTGGATTTTTTTTTCTTGCAGAGTTGTGGTTCCATTGATATAGGAAATGCTCAGTTAAGAAACTCCTTCTACCATGCAAGTCAGTAACTACTCTGCAACTTAGTGAGTTGGAGGAGGGGTACTGAGCACTTGGCCACACAGCCTGTACCTGTAAGAGCCAGAACTTATGCCCAAGTCTTCTTGATGCCAAGGCTGCCTTTCAATCCTCTGTGCCAGGATAGATTTGGAGCTGCAAAAGAACCTTACAGATCCCTAGTCTAATCTTCCTCATTTTACAGGCAAGAAAACTGAGGCCTAGAGGTGTTATATCACCTGCTCAAGGTCACACAGCTAGTAAATTGCCGAGGTAGTATTTGAACCAGCATCTTGATATGCCAAGCCAACACTTCTCTACTGGGCTTTGCTGTCTCTGTGTTGACCATACTATGCGCTCTCTCTGTACCTCTCAACTCCCTAAGGGGGGAGATGATGCTCCATTCTAGCACAGTAAGCAATGTTCTCTTGGATTAGTCAGGTCCCAGGTCCTCAACTATCTAGTGGGTTGACCAGGCAAATCACTTTATCTCTCAGAACCTCAGTTTCATTGTCTATAAAACTGTGATAAAATTCAAGCTACCTTGTGGTACATTGGTAGGGAAAGGCCTTCATATGCGCACACTAATATACCATTGGCAGACTTATAATTTGTTCAATTGCTCAGCAAAATAATTTGGAATTACATTTTGTTGAAAAAAAAAAGTCAGCAAAATGCTCTTATGTTGTGACCTAGTGATCTTACCACTGGGCATATGCCTCCAAGGAGGTCCAAGACAGAAAATAAAAAGTGCCATCAACATAGTCACAACAATGCTTGCGGGGGAAGGAAAAAACTAGGAACAAAGTATATGCCCCTCCATTGGAGAATGGCTGAGCAAACAGTGACAAACGAATGTAATGGGATATTGTTGTGTCGTCAGAAAAGACAAATGAGGAATTCACTCTTTAAGACTCTTGAGAGAATGCTTGCAAGGTGAAGAAAACACAACCTGAAAAAGGTTTACCATGGCTTTTATCGTTGCTGTTCAGTTGTGTCTGACTCCTCTTGACCCCAGTTGGGATTTTCTTGGCAAAGATACTGGAGAGGTTTGCCATTTCCTTCACCAGCTCATTTTATGAATGAGGAACTGAGGCAATCAGGGTTAAGTGACTTGACCAGGGTCACACAGCTAATAAGAGTCTGAGGTCACATTTGAACCCAGGTATATGAGTCTTCCTGACTCCAGGGGCCCAGCACTCTATGAACTATGGCACCACCTAGCTGCCCTATAATAGATGGCTACCATCATGCAAATGAAAACAGTACTATTAAGTAGCTTCAGCTTGGATTAATTTTGATGACTGATGTTGCTTCTCAAGGCAAGGTGATGGAAAACATGGCCCTTCTCTCAGGAGACAGGTAGTATTCTACAGGAGTGGAATATTGCCTACGCTGACATTGTTCAGTCATTCAGTTGGGTCTGACTCTTTGCGACCTCATTTGGGGTTTTCTTGGCAAACTAGAATGGTTTGCCATTTCCTTCTCCAGAGGATCAATTTTGTCAGGCAATCAGAGGTTAAGTGACTTTCCCAGGGCACAGCTAGGAAGTGTCTGAGGCTGGAATTGAACTCAGGTCTTCCTTACCCCAGGCCCAGTGAGCCACCACCTGCCTTACCGACAGTTTTGCATAACTCTTATTCTTTGTCACAAGGGAGGGTTCTTGGGTGGGAGGGTATATATTAGGAAATTGACATTAAGTTAATTGTAACCTTTTTAAAAACATACAGAATTGAATTTCTGAATTGAACTGAATTAGCAGCTGGGTGGAGGGTGACTTAATGTGATTCAAGGCCATTCTGAAGGAAGATCAGAAGGAATCATGGATGAACAGGGCAATTTTGAAAGTAGCATATGAAGTTGATCACATATTTTGAAATTTGTGTTCTGCTGTGTGCATGGAAATGTTCTTTTTTAGTGTCTAAGTTTAGAATAAAAGTAAATTTATAAGAAAAAGAATAGACTATAGGGTCCTTACTCTACCCTTGAGAGTAGGAATAATTTTACTTTTTATTGTATCTATAGCCCCTGAACCTATCAGAGTACCTGGCACTGAGTGGTGCTTAATAAACACTTGTGAATTGAATAATCTGACAAGATACTAGGCTCCCAGCAGAGAGATAAGGCAAGAGGCAGTTCCCAGGATTTCATTCTGCAAGGGGCCTGTGTGAGAGGAAGAAAACAGTTGCCCCTAAGCTGAAGGCATACTCACCAAGCCTTGCCAGGGACCAGTGTTCCAACGGGAGATGCCTACAGCCAGGCCCCCAGTAAGCAGCAACAGTGGGGCTGTGGACACTACCAAACAGCCCAGCACCTCCAAGAAAGGATTGTCACAGAAATGCTGATAGTTTCTGTGGATTCTGAGGGCTGAGACCCCAGCCCAAGCCATGGCAGCTGCAGCTCCCTGAAACATAAGAACCATATATCTCAGTTACTGAGTCACTAAACCTTTATTAAGTATCTACTATGGACCAGGCATTGTGCTAAGTGCTGGGGATACAAAAAAGACAAAAGATGATCCTAGCCTTGAAGAAGCTCACAGTCTAATGGGGAAGACAACATGCAGACGTCTTTGTACAACAAGATATATTCAAGATAAGTTGGAAATACTCAACAGAGATAAAACACATAAGCTAAAAGGAAAGGCTTTCTGTAGAGAGTGGGATTTTAGCTGGACCTTTAAAGAAGGTAGAGATGAGGGGGGGAGAGACTTCCAGGTATGGGAATAGGGAAAGGAGGGGAGGAAGGGAGGGAGGAAGGGAGGAAGACAGGCTTTCCAGGCACATCCATACTAAATGAGTGAATAGCAAACCTTCACCCCCCCTCCCCCACCCAGGAAGGCACCTCCATGCTCATTTCTGAGTTCTTGGAAAGGCTGCTCAGCTAGTCAATAAAACACTTATTGAGTACAAGGCTCCATGCTTATTACTAAGGATACTAAAAAGAAAAATTAGCCACTCCAAGGAGCTTGTACTGTTTGGGGGTTCTGACAGGCTGGGGGTGGTGCAGTATAATACAAATGAGTAGAATACAAGATAGAGTGTGTGCAGGGGTGGGAAGAAATGGACAAAGGAGGAACCCAGACAAAATACTCTTAGATAACTTGAGAAAGGAGAACCCTCTCAGCTATGGGCATCACTGAAGGCTGATATTGACGCTCCTAAAGCCCATGATCTTGTTACAACTGTTGTGCAAGAAGCTTCAGGGATTCCCCATTCTTTCAGGCTAAAAGCACAAATTCCCATTTGACTTTTAAAGCCCTTCAGAATCTGGCTTTGGCCATACAAAACTTACCCTCATGCTCCAGTGGACTTGGCCTGCTTCACAACATTGCAAATTCTACCTCCACACCTTTTCACAGGCTGTCCCTGATCCCAGGAGTGCTCCTCCCCTTCACCTCCTCCATTAGAACCTTCAAGGCTACTTCATTCAAGACTAGCCTGATTTCCTGCAGGTAAGTACCCACCTTCCCCTGTGTAATTTTTGGCTCCACTTCCTGTACCTATCTGTGAACATCTGCTTCCCCAAGCAGAATATAGGCTTCCTGAGGGCAGGAATTGTTTCATGTTTGTATTTGTATCTCTAGCAGGGTCTGGTGCTTAATAAATGCTTATTGATCAATTAAGGAAGGGGCAGCTGAGTTAAGCCTATAAGAAAGAAAAGGATGAAAGGGATGAAGAGAGAGCTCATTCCAAGCACAGGGGTGGCTTGTCCAGAAGCAGGAGAGGGCATGACAGGCTTAGAGAACAGTTATGTTCCAGTCTGGCAGGAATGTGGAGTATGTGAAGAGGAATAAAGGGAAATCATGTGCAATAAACAGGGAAAGATAGGTTGGAGCCATGCTTTGGTGGACCCTGAATGCCAGGCTAAGGAATCTGTACCTTTTCATAGTGGAAATGGGGAGACACTGAAGGTTCCTCAGCTGGGAAGCCACATGGTTAGAACCATGCATTAGGAAGATGACATATATTTTGCATAGCTGTATTTGAGGAGAGAGAATACTTCCAACTGCTGAAAATCAGGGAAGGCATCACATTGTTTCTCTCCCAAAGAATATATTCTCTCTCTCTCTTTTTTTTTTTTATCCTAGACACCATTTAAAACAGTGCCTGGCACAAGGTAGACCCTCAGTAAATGCTCACAGGATCAAAGTAAATTAGCAAGCTGTATGGAAGGTAGCTTGGAGAGATCTGAGTCAGGGAGGCCATTATGGAGCCTATTAAAATAGTCCAAATGAAGGGCAGAGGGGCTGAATGAAGATGTTGTCCACATGAATGGAAATGTATATGGAGGCAGAAATGGCCAGACTTGCTGACTAAAGCTTGTTGTAGTCATCCTCACTACATACACACAAGCTTTAAAAAGCTCAGGACACAGACTTGATACAATATTCCTCGAAACTGTGGAGAGCTGCAGAAAGCTGCAGAGAACTTAGAAATCATTTCAAGAAAAGAACAAGGTAGCCATCTAACAAACATTGATTGTGTCTGCTTCATGCCAGGCAATGTGCTAGGTGCTGTTTGGAACAGAAAACAGTCCCTGCTTCCAAAGAACTCACATTCCATTGGCATTATTATCTGACTCGGCACTAGGGACTCGATTGAAAAGATCACTAGAACATGGAACGTGGGATCTCGGAGACCACCTAGCCCATGACGCTCCCATGTTGCAGGTAGGGGACCACCTTGAACAGAGTCCAAGGCTGGGACGAGAGGGGGGGACCAGGGAGCATGATGGTGGTGATTTGGACCAACCAGAAAATTCTTCTGCGATTGGTAGCAGTTGCTTTGCTTGGGGGTAAAAATAGTAAAGGGGAGAGAGGAAAGAAAGGAGAAACAAATGTCAGGGCTTGGCAGTGCTACAGAGAGGAGGTCTGGCTGGGGGATGAGGTCAGAGGATTTCCCCCTCTCAGTTCAATTGAATCAAAGGAAAATCTCTGTTCCTCAAATGAGTGAGGCACTGACTTTGGAGGCAGGAGGTCTCACATCTGGACTTACAAGTTGTTTTTGTTTTGGAAACAATATTTTATTTTTTCCAATTATATAGTTTTCAACATTCATTTTTTATAAAATTGTGAGTTCCTAATTTTTTCTCCTTCCCTTCTATGCCCCCTCCCCCAAGCAAACAATCTGATACAGGTTACACACGTACAGTCATGTAAAACATTTCCACATTAGTCATGTTGTGAAAGAAGAAACAACAAAAGGGAAAAGCCATGAAAAAAAAAACCAAACAAAAAGTGAAAACAGTATGCTTTGATCTGTATTCAGACTCCATCAGTTCTTTCTCTGGATGTGGATAGCATTTTCCATCATGAATCTTTCAAAAGTGTCTCAGATCATTGTATTGCAGAGAAGCTAAATCAATCGTAGTTGAACGTTGCACAAGGTTGCTGTTACTGTGTATGATATTGCTGTTACTGTGTACATTATAAGTTTTTTTATCTGTAAAATGGAACTAAGAATCAGAACTACAACAATTTGTACCACATCCCCCATACTGCAAAGTGTATAGGGCTCCCTTTGGAGTCAGGAAGACCTGAGTTCAAGTACTACCTCTGACACATACTAGCTTTGCGAGCCTAGCCAAGTAGCTGAACCTCTCAACGTTCCCAGACAACTAAGGCACACAAGCTGTTAGTATGTATTTACAGAGGTAGTTATTTTACAGAGTTGGGAGTTTCCCTCACAGAGATTAAATCACAGATTCAGAATTCACCCCAGATCACTCTTCTCTCTCTCCGCTTTGGTGTTACTGGTGTTCCCTGCTTCCGGGTCCTCTCTCCCTCTTTCTCTCCCCTCCTCCTTCCCCTCACTCCCCATTCACACAATCACAATACCAGAGCTGGAAGAAAACTCAAGAGGCAACGAGTCCAATCCATATTTCAACATAAACCCCTCTCTACAACACCTTCAACAAATTCAATCCAGGTCGGCTTAAAGATCGGAGGGGAGAGGGGCAGAGAAGGAGGACCTCACCACCTCTGGAGGCAGTTTATTGCCTTTCGGACCGCTGCAATAATCAGGAAGCTTTTCCTTAACTGGAGCTTGTCTCCCTTCCTCTTAACTGCCCCACCCCAGCCCCAACCTCAAAGGCCCCATTTCTGCCCTTTGGAGACAAGCAAAAAGAGTATAAGCCCTCTTCTTCCCTTTTGCGGTGCTAGGGTATTCCCTTCCCCTCCTCCCCACCCCGAAGTGGCTGTCTTGGTTTGTAGGTTAAAGATCGGTAATATCATTAGCCCCAGGTCAGTCACCTTAAACATACCTCAGTATTTTCCCCAGGTGTTCACTTACCCAAACCCAAAAAACAAAGAGTCCGAGACTGTCAGGGCTGAAAGGTGCTAGACAGCATCGAGGCCAATGCCCTCTTACTTTACAGACAGAGAAACTGTGGCCCAGAGAAGGGCTGGAACTTGGATAAGGTCACACAGAGAACTGATAGCAGAGCTGGGACTAGAGCCTAGGTCTCCTGACTCGCGGACCCGGGCCCCCCGGCACCCGCGTAGGATTCGCCAGGGTGGGGTGGAGGAAAATTGGTGAATTAAAACCGAAATTGTCTAGCGCCCTCGCCCCCGCCCTGCGCCCCCCGGCCACACCCAGCCCCGCCTGTAGCTCCCGGAGCTCCCAGCGAGGCCCAGAGGCGGCTCGTACCCAGAGCAGGAGGCCCAAGAGGCGGAAAGGCCCTCGGAAGAAGGAGGAATCCATGGGCAGCAGGAGACAGCGACGTCCCAGCGGCAGCGGCAGCTGCAGCTCCCAGGGCGGTAGTTCTCCTTCTCTAGACAGCCAGCAGCAATTGAGGAGGCTGGCAGCTGGGCCAGGCCCTACCCCCAGCCCCTTGGCCCCTCCCAGGGCCTCAGCCCCCAGGACCAGCTCCAGCCCCGCCCCACCCCCAGCCCTACACGATTAATATTTGTTGATTTTAGTTGGGGGCCTCCGTTTTCCGGTCCGTAAAGCGAGGGGATTGGATTAGATCTGAAGTTCTTAACCTGGGGTCCCTGGATAGATTTTAGGAGGTCCCTCTATTTATTTCAATATAATTTGTTCCCATATAATCCGATGTATTTAATTTTGTGCGCTTAAAAGCATTATTCTGAGGCAGGGTATGGAGGCTTCCTAAGACTGCCAAAGGGATCCGGAACACCAAAAATATCAAGAATCCCGGGACTGGAAGCTTTCTAAGGTCTCTCCCACCCCTAACATTCTTTACTCTAAGGGCCCTCCTAACTCGGATTTTCTGTGTTCTAAGATTCCTTCCTGCTCTGACATCCTACCTTTTAAAGTCCTGTCCAACTTTGACATTCTTTGTCTCAAGGTCCCTTACATTGACTTTTCTGACCGCTGGGGTCCTTTCAAGTTTTGACATTCTAAATTTCAATGTAACTAACCCCTTCCAAATTCTGCTATTATTGTCTTTTAAGGTCTTGCCCAGCTCTGACAGTCCAGTTTCTAAGAGCCCTTCCAGTCCTGACATTCTGTGTTCTAAGTTCCCCTTTAAATGTTCTAGGTCCGTTATAGCATTGTGTCCTAAGAGTGGTCCTGTGACAGTCCATGTTCTTTTTTTAAAGGGTTTTTTTTTTTTATGCTCTTTGCTCTTTTCTAAAAATCACTGCTGGGGCAGCTAGTTAGCACAGTGGATAGAGCTCTGTCCTTGGGCTCAGAACGACTTGAGTTCAAATCCAGCCTCAGACACTTGATACTTAATAGCTGTGTGGCCCTGGGTAAGTCACTTTTAATTCCCCTTGCCTCACCAGCAAAAAAAAAAAGTCACCAGCCTAATAAATCACTGCTATTTTCCACTGACTCCCCTTCTTTGTGACAAATACAGTCAAGTAAAATGAATCAATATTTTGTTCTCTTCTGAAAACTTATACCTCTTTTCACATCTCTATCCACTACTTCACTGCTCAGAACCTGCAGGTTGGGCTTCACCTCCCACCATGTCAGTTTTCTAAAGTCATGATTGGTCATGATCATGGCCATTGATCAGAGTTCTAAAATCTTTCAGGATCATGTTGTGGTCATCATTTAAATGGTTCTCCTACTTCTGTTTACTTTGCTGTGCCTCAAATAAAGTCTTTCTGAGTTTCCATGAATGCTTTAAACAGAGTTTCATAAAACTCATGTTTCATAAAACTTACTTGGAGTATTCATCATTTCTTTTTTTTTTCTTTTTCTATGAACATTTCATTTTCATTTCCAGGGCTTCATCTAGCAATTGGAGAAACCTAACAATAGTTTAGAGTACAAGTTCATTTTCAAAAACAAGGGAAGACTATAACAAAATAGCAAAAAAAAAAACCCAAAATCATTGGGGTTGGGAGGTAGAAAAAAAGAAAGTTAGAGAGCTTAGGATATGTTCTATGAATGCAGCTGGAGAGGCATGAAAACAAATGTGAAATGGATCAGATCTGATCCATGATAATGATGACTCATGGTGATCCAGATGATGATAACAGAGTCTATGTTTGAACCCTACTATCATTGTGTAAGGGAAGGATGTATTCAGGGAAGACTAATACCTCTGGTATGAGGGCTGCTGAGCCCTTTTCAGCACTGCTTTCCACCTTTGGTGTCCACCTGGTCCACCTAACTCTGACCTCTGGCTCCAAGAAGCGCTAGCATGTGCTGAGGCCACACCCCAGTTAACAGTTTCTGCAGACAGGCTAAACCAGGCTGAGGGTAAGGAAGGGGTCTCAAATGCATTGGTGATTTCGAGGGGCATTTACCCTAAGCATGTCAAGACTTCCCCTGGTGGAATGAGCAGAAGAGGGCAATTTAATCCAATGGCCATGAAGGCAGGTGAAGCAGGAGCTGTGGAGGGCTTAGAGCTTGGTTAGACACCGTAGAAGCCAAAGTCGTTCACTGCATCTTGAGCCTTGGACAATCATCTTCACTCTGCCACTGGAATGTGATGACTCTGAAAGAGAGAGTGAGGCTGATGACTTGATGCAACTCAAGCTCACCTAAATCCAATTTATGCACAAAATCAACAGACATCACCCATACCATTTTACCGTTTTTACCTATCTCAAAGTCCTGTGGCAATAGGTAAGTGATGAAGCAGCAGCTATAGTCCCAACGCTACACAGAGGCGGCCCAGGCCATAGAGTGATCTTCTTACTGGAAGCAGCAGTGGGATTCGGCAGCCTCTTGGGTGTCTGAGCAGCCTTTTAAGGATCATACTGTTCACCTCCTGGTAAATCTGACCAAAGGCCATTGATGATATCTGTTGTGAGGGCTTATGGAAAATTATGCAAAAATTTTATTGCCCAGAGAAGTTCATCAGTATTATATGTTAACTTCACAATAGCATGATTGCCCAGGTTCCTGATAATGGACGATGCTCTCACATTTTCCCAGTCACCAGTGGAGTGAAACAAGGTTGTGTGCTTGTTCCTATGCTTTTAGCATGATGTTTTCAGTGCCAGGATCTTGGGGTTCCAGCAGCACCCCAAAGTCCTAGACCTCTTCAATCCATGTGCACATTTGGGGTGGATTCTCTAAATTTGTGTATCTCAAGTTTCTTTTGAGCTACCTCCATTCTGCTTTGCTCGTAGAGCACTGATTGAGGGCATGCCATATTGAGTTGTCTTGTATCAGTGTCTGCCATGTCACATAATCAATTCCAAAGTTCTTAAGAGAGACCTTGAGAGTGTCCTTGTATTCAGTCTTCTGACCTACATTGTTCTCTAATGTGAGTGCTTGCACTGTGTTAGTTTTCCATAGAATAGTCTTTTTGGCAAGCTTAAGTTTAGCATTAGAACAACAGGCCAGACCATCAGAGTTGCACTCTCTATGGTAGAGTTTGAATGCTTGGCTGTTTCAAGATGAAGGACCTCAGTGTCTGGTGTCTTATTCTGCCAGCTGATCTTCAGAAACTTCCTAAGACAATTTAAATGGAAGCTGTTCAGTGTCCTGACATGGTATAGGTGTGCTGTCCAGGTTTCACAGGCATACAACAATGAGGTCAGCACAACAACTCTGGAGACCTTCAGTTTGGTAGGCAATCTTCTCTTCTCTCCCACAATTTCCTTCAGAGCCTCTGAAATATTGAGCTAGCTCTGGCAGCGTGTGCCTCAACCTCATTATCAATGTGTACGTCCCAATGTGTATACCGCCAAGGTAAATGAACTTATCCACAGCATTTGGAACTTCTCCATTTGCTGTAACCTATGGTTCCAAGTATGCATGGTGTGGTGCTGGCTAATGGATCACCTGTGTTTTTTTGGTGTTAATCATTAGGGCAAAATTAGCACAAGAAGCAGAGAATCAATGCGTACTGTGTTGCATCTCAGCTTCGGAGGCTGCATTGAGTGCACAATCATCTACAAACAAAAGTCATGCACCAACACTCTCCCCACTTTGGCCTTGGCTTATACCCAATTTGAAGAATTTACCATCGGTGTGATAGCTGACCTTGATGCTGTGTTGTTCCTCATTGAAGGCATTTGACAACATGGCTGAAAACATCATGCTAAAAGCATAGGAACAAGCACACAACCTTGTTTCACTCCACTGGTGACTGGGAAAATGTGAGAGCATCGTCCATTATCAGGAACCTGGGCAATCATGCTATTGTGAAGTTAACATATAATACTGATGAACTTCTCTGGGCAATAAAATTTTTGCATAATTTTCCATAAGCCCTCACAACAGATATCATCAATGGCCTTTGGTCAGATCTACCAGGAAGTGAGCAGTATGATCCTTAAAAGGCTGCTCAGACACCCAAGAGGCTGCCGAATCCCACTGCTACTTCCATTCAAATCTTCTTCTAGCTAGCGGAAAAGTTTATTAGTGATAAAACACTTAGGCCAGGTGACCCCCATAAGGACAGTGGGCATGAGAAAGTCTCAGCCTTTTGGGCTTGAGATTCTCAGCCTCTGAATGGGGGCCAGGCTGGATCTTAAATAATAAAGTTACTTTGGGTGGCCAGAGAAGGGGGCTGGGAAAAGGGTCTAGGTAAGAATTCTAATTGGGGAGGTCTGAGTGATTGAATAGACAATGGGAATAGCTAATGGAGGGAACAGGAAGGCATCTGTCAAAGGGAGGTAAGGGGAGTCGATAAGGAACCTGAAAGTTTAAGTGTTTTATGGGGCTTGTAATGGAAGGAGCTGGGAAGGCATCTTAGTAAGGTCAAAAGGTGAGGCTAGGGTTTTTAAAGGGAGATAAGGAGCTGGGGTCTGTAGACAAGTGGGAGCCAGATTCCCTTTGGTACAAAGGTGGGGGGAAGATCTCTGCTTGAGCTCACCCCATCATGGACTATTTGTGTCTGAGCTGTGTTAGAGCATTCTGAGCTCATACTGGTCTGATCAGCCACAGTCGGACACATTGCAACTGAACTCTAACACAGCAATGTCATTTTGGTCCTCTTTGAGAAAGAAAGACCACAATGAATTCTAGAAATGTGCCAGAATTCGAAGTCACTAGCCTAGGCTTTGCAGAATCTACCGTCTCTTTTTAGAGACTTGGTAAATGTCCCCTTTTCCAGTCCTGTGGCACCTCAGCG